TGAGAAACTGGTACGAGAAGAGCGACATCTGTTTAATCATAGTTAATAGAGGGAAATGGTTGAGAAGCCCAGCAAACAAAGACGCAAGCAAACCGAGTAGGATTTACGTTGAAATGTTCTTGACCCTGCATATCTTTTGTTTTTTGTTCATTGACTATGCATGAATCACATTATCGCAAGCTTCTATTGGTTAGTTGTATAAGCACACATAACCACCTTTGTATTTTGCCAGGTTTTGCGGAGGGTCAACACCCAAAATAGCCAACAAAAACATACAACAAACAACTTTGCTAGTTTTCATAACCATCTCCTTCTATTAACTATGATTTGATTAAGGCTCTAACGACAATTAAAATATGCTAAATATTTTAGGCTTACATATACCTCTTGAATTTTTCAGTAGATTTTTTTTGCTGGAGTTTTGTAGTGTCCGCAATAAAATTGGAAACGTTTTTTTGTTTGTTTGTTTCTGTGGTTGTATCAATGTTTTCTCATCAGTTTGCCGTTTTCATGCATATTATGATTTCCTATTCTTTGCCAAAGTTCGAAAAAGTCGTATATGGGTAAAATCGTGACCCAATCTAATTTATCACGTTCTCCACTAGCCCGTAGTTTTTGTCACGTCACGCGAAAACAATACAAAACTTATAAGTTGTTAACTAAACCGTTTAAAATTCTTTCACCTCTAAACGGCACAACTAGCGAAAAAGCAACACTACAACACTAGCCATAATTTTATGTTCGATGCTAATAATATTTCTGCTCTACCGCTTCTCGGTACCGCTACATTTCTCGTTTTCGTTTAAACAAACCACGGTTTTGCGAAATTCGGTCAGTCATCTAAACCAACACAAGTTTTATTTTGCTAATCTATGTAAACTATGGATAAACGACCAAGAGGGAAGTGATTTTCGCAACTGACCTCTAGGAAAACACTCGTTACCATGAAAAACTGTTTCGGCATGCGCTTTCCCTCTCGAAAGTGCAACGAAAACTAACTCGCATGAAATAGTAAACAGGCATGGATGATCTACAAACCTATTTTCACCACTGATAAATGCGCCTTTTCAACATTCTGGCATAA